TCCTCCTCCTCCTCCTCCTCCTCCTCCTCCTCCTCCCCCTCCTCCTCCGCCTCCTCCTCCCCCGTCGTCGCCCGCGCCACGAGGCGGCCAAGAGAGGCGGCGCGGAGGGCAGCGGGGGTGCCGGCGCCCCCGCGGCGCAGCCTCGGCACGAGCACGGCGCTCGGGAGGCCGCGAGGGCGAAGGAGCCCAAGTGCCCTGTGCTCCAGAAGATGGAGGAGCACCAGGACCCGAGGGGGCTTATATCGGCTCGGGGCTCTTGAATTCGATAAACTGTTGAAATCAACAATCTGGTCTCTGAGTTGAAGACATGTAGAAGTATTGCTTTTGAATTCAAGAAGCAATTTTTTGAATTCAAAAACCGTTGTTTGGCCAGTTTCGTCGGCTCTCGTCGGTTTTTCCAGCTTCCGGCCTCGGGATGCCTTCCACAGGCTGCGCCCCGCCGAGAGCGTTCCGGGGGTGTCCCGTCGTCCTCAACGGCCGCCAGTGAGCCGAGTTATTGTCCTCACCACCCAGCAAACCACCCCTACCCCACCCAATCCGAATGCCCCAATATGCCCTCCATTCCCAGTGGGGGGGGTGTCGGGCCGTCGGGAAACATTGAAAAAAACCATGCGGAGCCCGTAACCGCTCTAGGTCTTCAGCTTGGGTTCCCCCACATTTTTCTATCGGCGGTGAGCAGGACTGGTCCTAAAACCTTCTCCTTCTCTCTCCTTCTCCTCCTCCTCCTCCTCCTCCTCCTCATCCTCCTCCTCCTCCTCCTCCTTCCCCTCTTCCTCCTCCTCCTCCTCCTCCTCCTCCTCCTCCTCCTCCTCCTCCTCCCCCTCCTCCTCCTCCTCCTCTTCATCCTCCTCCACCCCCTTCGGAATGACAGGAGGAGGAGGAGGGGGAGGAGGAGGGAAGGAGGAGAAGGAGGAACCCCAGTCCTTCCTCTCAGCCGCCGTCCAAATCATGAGTTACTCCCCATTGGTGGGACCCCAGTCCGCCGAAAAATGATTAGTTACCCCTTGTTGGCGGGGGTTCGAGAGATCTTTCAGGGTTACCCCCCAACCCGAAATTTGGGTTCTCGGGTTAGCTTGGAGGAGGTCTGGTAGGCAGTCAGGTCCGAAAGCCAATCGGAGTTCTCGAGGCGGTCCCACTTTTCTGAGCCAGATTCAAGGGATCTGGGCCGCCTAGATGCGGCTCGATGCGGAGCACGCTTTTCTTCACGCCGACATCGCCGATGCATCGCCCACATCGACGACGCATGGACGATGCATCGCCGATGTATCGCCGATGCATCGCCAATGCATCACCGATGTATCGGCGATGCGGCGCGATCCTCCGACCCCATCTACTCCGACCCTATCTCGGAGGCCCCTAAGGGAGGAAGAACACCCATACCCCGACCATCAGCGCTTACGAAGCGGCCCTGGGCGTCCACTGAACAACCCTGCCTTGCTCGATTCCTCCCTTGAGTGCGCTTACTAGACCCAAACCCCCGACGTCGTGATGTTCTCGCAACGTCGACCCCCAGAGGTCTCGACCCCTTCCCCAAGACTGCTTTCTCTTCCTGCAGCGCTTTTTGAACGTCCCCGGATCCGGTAAGGGCTCCCGGAGGCGAAAATTGCGAAAAACCTCGCGTCGTGATTTTTGTCACAACGAGAGGGGGTCTCGGAGCGGCTTCGCTTGTCGGGGTGTCGATTACGGGGGGTGGATCGACGGCTTTCCACAGATGCGGGTCGAGGCCACGGTGCCTCCCGGGCCTCCAGGGTCCGGAGCGCATGGCATCGGACCGTCGAGAGGGCCCCTCCCGCGGGCGGGCCTGCGGAACGCTCTGGCGGGCCCTCGCGAAGAGGGCAAGACGGTACCGGCACATTTTTGGATGGCACTGGCACGAGTTCGGGGGCGGCCAAGAGGGAGGTGATGACAAGTCGGGTGTTGCCAGAAGTGCCCCTGGCCCAAGGTGACCCCAGGATTTCCAGGGAGGCCCACACGGCCTCCAGAGCACCCCTCACGAGCCCCAGATGGCCCCAGGGGCTCCGAGATGGAGCGAAAAGCTGGGGGCAACTTTGGCCAGGGGCACCTTTAGCAACCCCCGAACTAGGAGGGAGTGGATATCATGACGGGGGCCATGACATCTCCCCAGATTTCATGGCGCCTATTCTTATTTCAACAAGTCCTCGGCACCCCCCTTGGCCGCGCACGTGCCGCCAGCCATGCTTTGTGCCCTGTCTCTTGGACATCCCCCTCTTTGGACGCCCCCGATGAACTTCGAGTAGGGGGTCGACTTGCAGCGACTTGCAGAATTCATTTACCCCAGGCTTCTTTTTTCTCGTCGGATACCCGTAAAAGACGCAGAATGCCCTGCCGATCTCGACAAGGATGTAAATTTGGGGGTGCATGAATTCTGAAGACGATCTCCTACTCGAAAACTTGGATCGGAGCTGGGACCCCTTGGCGGCGCCTCTGGCGCCGTCCCTGGCGCGCTCAGAGCGCCAGGAAGGGGATCCAGCGCCGATCCAAAAGTTCGATCGGATCTCCGACAGTGTAAGTCAATTGAGTTGTCCGTGAAGGACAATCTACCGATAATTACCGCTACAGCCAAAACTTGTGCCAATAATGGCTCATTTTAGCAAGGGTGCATCTAATCGTCCTTCGGTTCTGGCTTCCGCGGCCCAAGGGTACACTTCCCAATGCGTCCCCCGCGCGCGGAAGGCAAACATGCTGGCTGGAACGGGTCCCTCGCATCCCTGGATTTGGTTAAAGATGATCGCATGGTTTCCTCAACTTCGGCGCGTTCCAGGGGCCTTACATCCTCTTCAAACTCCGACCTCGTCGCTGATTTTGGCTGTAACCTCCCCTCGTCGCCACGACGGGGCTCGCCTCGAGATCCTGGTCAGGCCGCGCGCCTGGAGAGGTCCGGGGAGCAGCAGTGCCGGTATCCGTGCCCCCCCGAAGAAACGGCGGCCCCTCCCTGGCGTGTTTGGCCGTCCTCGTTGGCCATGCCGGAGCACCCTGGATCCGCTTCGAAGAACGGTCAGGGGGGAGGGGGGAGGGGGGAGGGGGGAGGAGGAGGGGGAGAGAAGGGAGGAGAGAGGAGAGGAGGAGGAGGAGGAGAGGAGGAGGAGGAGGAGGAGGAGGAGGAGGAGGGAGGGAGGAGGAGAGGAGGAGGAGGAGGGGAGGAGCAGGATGAGGAGGAGGGGAGGGGGGGAGGGGGGAGGAGGGAGGGGGGGGGGGGGTTGAGGGGGAGGGACCCCGTGGAGGGGTCTGGAGCCTGGACTTTTGAGCTGGCCTGGGCCTGGGCTGGGCGGGCCGCCGTCGCCGCGGCGGGCCCTTCGCCGGCAGGAGGCGATCCGGAACCTGGAGAAGGCCAAGCAGGAGCACCAGAGGTTCACGGAGTGGGTGCAGTGGGCCCAAGGTCGGGGGCGGAAAAGAGGGGGGGGGATGACTAGGGGAGGGGGGATATCATGGCGGGGGCCATGATATTTTCCCAGATTTCATGGCGCCTCTTCTTATTTCATCACGTCCCTGGCCTCCCCGCTGGGCCGCGCACATGCCGCCGAGCATGATTTGCACCCCCCCCTCTTGGACACCCCCCTCTTGGCCGCTCCCGACAAGGAGAGATTCAGAAGAAGAAGGCGGACGAGGACGACGATGGCGCTTAGGGCAGCCTCCGTGGAGAGCGGCTGCCTTTCAATAGTGTTGTTTTCTGGCAATCCTGGCGATTTTGCCCCCTTGCCTCGGCCGAATCGCGACCCGCTTGAGGGCAAGTTTGCCCTCCTCTTTTTCGATGGCACCCGCCGCGCCCGCCCCGTCCGGCGGACGTAGGCGCGCGGGGCCCGTCGGCGTCGGTGCTGCACAGCGCCTCCCGCCCCCGACCTCCCCCCTCGCAGCTCCCGCACCTCCCCGCACCGCCCACCACAGCACCCCTCGCGCTGCACCTTCGGGGGACCTCGCCTGTTCCCCAAATCGGTGTTTCCTCTTGTGCCCGACGCGGGCTCCGTGCGCACTCGACGCGGATTTGGCACGGGCTCGACGCCGAGCCGACACGGATTCGACACGGAGCCCGGAGCCGAGGAGTCCGACATGGATGCGGCACGGATTCGGCGAGGGCCGCGACGGAACAGACAAGGTCTCCTGAGGATGCAAGAAAACACCCCAGCCCAACACGAAGGCCACGATTTGCCCTCCGTTCCCAGTGAGAAAGAGGCGAAGGGGAATACATATGGAAAAACACGTGTGGAAACCGTACACCCCCCAACTCGAAATTTGGGCCTTCGGGTTGGGTTGGGGTTGTCTGGTAGGTATCCCCGCCCCACCCCCTCCTTCGCTCTTCCGATCAGGCCGAGCACAGGCAGGAAAAAGCCGGTGCACGGGCGCAAGCGCCAGCGCGCTGATGTGTGTGGCCTTCCTCTCCGTTGTCGCCCCATCGTTCGTTCCCCCCTTGGTGCTCGTGCCCTCGTCGTCGTCCCCAGACCCCCTCGCGCTGTGAACAACAGCGATGCGAGGCTTCGCCACTTCCAGCCTCCCGGAGCCCTTCCCGGGCCCCGACGCCCGTCAAACAGCGGTGCAGGAAGAGAAGCCGTTCCTGGGGAAGGGGTCGACGTTGGGGGCTTCGACGTCGGCCCCTTCCTGGGGGGTCGACGTCGAAGCCCCTCTGGGGGTCGACGTCGACCTCTGGGGGTCGACGCTGCGGCAAAATCACGACGTCGGGTGTTGGGGGTCGTCCTCCCAGCTTGGGGGGGCCGGCGCGGGGCGATATCCCCATGCCCGGCGCCTCCATAGCGTCCTCTCGCTGCTTGCCTCGGCTCGATTCCCCAGAAACTATGGGAAAATATGGGAAGTGGGGGGGAAGACAGAAACCCAGAAAATATAAGAAAATATGGGGAATCTTTTTATTTGTGTGTATTTATTTGTGTGTCCTGGGGCCCCTTCATACATGTAAGAGTGACCCTTCGCCGGAGTGACCTTTGGTGCGGGCTCATCGGGCTCCCCCCGATCGCCGAGCGCGATGCGATACAAGCGGCCCGCGCCCTTGGGTTTGGCTCCCTCGCGCCCCCCAAAAGCTGCACACCAAAGGCCACCCTTGCCCAGGGTCACTCTTACGTCTGGGCGTCCATCCTTTTGCTGTGCAGTCTCCCCCTCCCACCTTTTCGGGCGCCGGGGGTCCAACACAGAATTTCAGACCCCCGACCCTCCCGAGCCGCCTCGCGCAGAAGAGGGCCGGATCGGAGCTCGGACCAATGGCGGCGCGAGGGCTCACGCGAGGGGGGCGGCGCGGTCACCATCTGCCGCCTCCGCCGCCTCCCCGTGCGCATCCCCAGACTTATGCTGTTCCAGCCTACTTTAGCCTCGACCACCAGAAAGAATTCCGAGCACCAGAAAAACAACACTCCAAAGTCTTCACGTGTCGGGCCCTGGGAGACCTTGTCTCGACACTGTTTCGACACTCTTTCGATACTTTTCAGGGTGCTCGAGATTAGTTCTGGGATGTGGTCCTGAAGTACGATGGGAACAACATAACCCCAGACCCCCGACGCTCCGATTTCTTCATAGCGTCGCCCGGCGTCATGATTTGTCACAGCGTCGACCCCGGAGTTCTCGACCCATTCCCCGGGTTTGGTTTTTCATCCCGAGTAAATTTTGGACGGGCCAGCAAGGGCCCCGATCGGAGGCCAAGAATGATGAACGCAACTCCATCTCAATTTTTCCAAAACGCTGGATGTCTGAATCTGCATCCTACTCCTGGTCCTTTCCCCTCTCCTCCCTGCCCGCTCACCTATCGCCAATCCATCTCCGATCTGGGCCTGGGTCCCACCACCGCGCCTGGGAGCATGCGGTTTGGCCATCGGGGGCCAATCGCCGATCTAGCGATGCATGGCCGATTCCAAGCCGATGTCCCCCCCCCCCTGAGCCAGGCCACCCCATCGCTCCCCTTCACCACCTTGCAGCGACGAGGATGACACACGTGAGCGCCCATAGCTCAGGATGCAACCCCCAGGAGGTCAAATTCAGCGTCGGCGCCCGTATATCCGTGGTCGAGATCCCGCTGAATCCAGCTTGCTCACAGGCTTGATCTGGTTTTGCGGCAATCGGGCTCAATCCCAGACTTCCAGCGTCTCGAAAAAGTCGAGACGCGGGTTTCTCATCGTTCTCGGCCTCGCGGGGCCCTTAATTAACGGGGCCTCGGGACCGCCAGAAACGACTCGGGGCGTCGAACATTGGCCCTGAAAAAATCGAAAAACATCGAGGGGCATTGGCCTCGAAAAAGTCGAGGCGCCCGATATCTGGGATGGCCCTGATCGGTCTTGCGAAGGCCTCCCGGAGGCTGCCCCCCGACACCGCGGAGGGCTCCCGCCGCGCCGTGCCCCCCGGCCATCCCAGGGGCCGCAGTGGGAGGGAGTGGGCCTCCTGCCCGCCCCCTGGCCCAGGCCCACGCCGTCGCGAGTGTTTCCGAGCGTCGGCACCCAGGGACCTCGCGACCCCTAGGAGGAGGAGGAGGAGGAGGAGGAGGAGGAGGAGGAGGAGGAGGAGGAGGAGGAGGAGGATGATGCAGGCCCCCGACGTCGTGAGTTTTTCCGAACGTCGGCCCCCAGAGACCTCTCGACCCCTTGGGACAGTATTTTTGTCACACCCCGGGCCATCGCGCGCGTGATGCTGAGACGGGCACGTCCCTCTGCAGGAGGCATGTTCAAACATTGTCAAAACATAGTCTGGGTACGATGTGTGTTGACTCTGTCCGGCTACTTTTGCATTTGTTTTGAACATGTTCTATGTTCCCGCCAATGTCTGCCTGTAGGGGGACATGCCCGATCTAAGCTTTATGCCCCCTACCCTCCCCGCCTCCCCATAACCTACCGCTCCCCCCTCAGTGTGCCGCCCCCGGCACTGCCGCATCGCGTCTGGTACCACCGCTTCGGGTGGGTGGGTGGGGGGGGGGGCGGGGACGCCATGTTATGCCCCCTCCCGTCCCCCCCCCTTCACACATGCTT